TGATCAGTGACTTTTGACCTAGTACATGACCTAATGACTTAGAGCGTGATCTAAAGGGATCAAACACAAAATGTTGACCTAATTTCATTTCTCAAATAATTTCCCAAGATCAAAGGGGTTAATAGTTGAATTTTGGATCAACTGATGAAAAGTCAAGTAATACACAAAAAGTCAAACTTTGGCTTTTTGGTAAACATTGAATTTCAAAGATCAAGATTCATAAATACATTCAAAAATATCAAACATGATCAACAAGAATAAAGAAAGTCAAGAAAGTCAACAAAAAGTCAATATTTTCAATACCTAGAAAAATTCTAAGTGTTTTTAACCTTGATAATTTCACTACTTCGTGACAAGTTTTCACCAAGATGCAAGATGATTCAAGGAAATTTTTCAACATGAAAGTTGTAGATCTTGATGAATTCTACAACTTTGTCCCTTAGGGTTGATGTCCAAAAAAATCTTGGATTTGAAGATATAGGCCCATGAAGTCATGACTTTTTTTATCAAAAACACTTAGTGAAATTTTCGTCAAGTTAGGCAGATTTTTCGTCCCAACTTCTTGGAAAATTTTCACCAAGTTCCAAGATGATTTAGCCAAAATGGTCAACATGAAGGTTGTAGAAAATGTTTCAAGCTTTCCAAAATTTCCAAGAATTTGAATAGATCATGCTTGACCTAGGAGAATCGAAGAGAAGATTCATGAAGAACACTTGATCAAATCTCAAACCTATGTTGCATAATCTTGCTTTTCAGGCTTATAACTTGTAAATCACTCCATAATTAATTGTTTAAACAATTGATTGAGGTATTATCCAAGTGATTAAGCCATTGTCTAAAGCATTTTCCATTTTTGTAAGAAAGGCACCATTGCCATTCTTGAAAAGCAAACTTTATCATAAAGTCAACTTGTCTTGAGCGTCTAACTTGTTTGTTCTAATCACACTCAACATGTATGCTCAGAAGTAACATGCTTAAAACCTATAGCCACACTACAAGCCCTTGTACCATTGCATTGGAACAGTGTTTGTCAAAGTTGCTTCAAAATCTAGTCACATAACCATAACATGTGATCTTTGATTTCTGACCACTAGAGCCTCCAAAACCTTTTCTCTATAAATAGAGGAGTCATTTGCAAGCCAAAACACGAATGAACAAGCCTTGAAACACTCTCATACTCCATCAAATAAGAATTTGCACAAAAATCTCCATAACTGTCATTTTTGACTTGGAACATCAATCTCACAATCCACTCATGCGTGCTCACTTTTGATCAATCACAAAGCTTCTGTACCTCATATATAACTCATATCCACCCTTGCTACACGAATGTAACTTCATCTTCATCATCCTCCATTTCCAAATATTCAAACCTGCAACTTGACTTCTTCAGCACGATTCAGGCACTTTCATCATAAAGTAAGAGTTGCATTAGCTTCCTAGGAGTCCAGTGAAGCTATCCAGATCATCACCACACCTCCAGGAGTGCTCAAACTCCAAACACAATTTCCAATTTTGAGGTAAGCTTTCTCAACTTTGAAATCCTTATACAAGCACCATTAATGGTTACTTTGTGAATGAAAAATGTAGACATCATAGCCCTGAAGCTAACCATGCCTTTAGGTTTCATTTATGTTGCCTGAGTGATGCAAATTTTGGAGTTAAACTTTCTGAAAAAATTAGGTTTTATTTGGTACCAAACAAAATTTATGCTCATCTCTGATTCGTAGTTTTAGTTATTTACATGGTTGAATTCGTGTTGAAAAATGGAGCAACTTTCATGTTTATACTTTTTAAAATGGTTGAGAAATGAGCAAGATCAGAAATTCAAAAATGGTGATGAAGAGGATGGCGAGAGGAAGAAGATGAAGTTATAATCAGGACTGGGTTTATTTTAAATTTAATGCAAGTTGCATTACTACCGGATGTAACATCCACCCCAGTGGTAGAGCGCGCGCGTATAAGGCATTCTTACGCCTAGTCGTAGGTTCGAGCCAGTCGTGTAACATTTTGTTCTTTTCATATTTATTTCATACTAATCTGGTACAAGTAAAGTAAAAGTGAGCATTGTGTTCCTCTTTTCTACACCATTTGATTAGTGGACAAGTAGATCCAATACATCACATGAGCAAACCCATGGTGCACCCTCAAAATCCAGCCACACATGATCCATACAAGCACTTGGACCCTTCTGTTTGGGCCTTTTTACTTTTGATCTCACACACCCCATTTTACTAACAGCGCATACCCATTTATCTCTTTTTTATTTATTTTGTTTTATGACTCAAACAAAAAACGCACATATTTGGGCCTAGTGTTTTTTGCTACTTTATACCCATTTTACTTTTTTTTACACCCAGACTCAACCTTTTTTATTTTCTTTAAATTTTATTTCTTTTATAAATTAACATTAACATTCAAATTATTTTCTAAAAAAATTATTTTAGACTTAGGTTTTATTTTTCTTCTTAATTTCAATTAACTTAGATTTTAGGTTTTGTTAATAATTAATTAACTTTTCCTATAATTAAAAATAATTAGTTTAATTAGGTTAAATTACTAAAACCTTTTCCATCAAAAACCCTAAAAAATAATTTATTTTCTCTTTACATTCTTGCACATTTTATTATATCACATTACTAATTATTCAATGGTTTGTAATAGATAATTAGGCTTTATTGCTTTCTTCCTCCTATTCAGAAATTGTACCCCCCATTCCAAAAGTATAGTAATAGCGTAGGACATTTAAATTCTACAATTTATCGCTTTCCTTATTATTGTTAGTAATCAGGGTTTGTATGACAAGAATTAAAATCAAGCATTAGACAACCCTAATTCAAAGACAATATACTTGAAATCAAAACAATTTGCACACACGCACCTCTAGGGTAACCCACACTTGTTGCCTCGGATAAAAATAGTCATGTACTTCGAATGTGGGATGTTTTAGCAAAGACCCTCGATTAAAATATCGTAGTCTATCGATGACCCTTCAATGTTGCCTTCAATAAACGATCTTAGTCCCTTACGACAAATTGCTAAAACATCTTACAAGTTGCCTTCTATGACTGTACGATGACCCATGCATGTTCCTCACATCCAATGATATGACTCCTTACCAATCAATGGTAAAATAGCACTATCGTAATTGCTTGCTCACAAACTAAAACCATTTCACACCTCACACTTTCAAAAACAAACATCCCTCCAAACATTCCATTTTTCAAAATATTTACAAAACAAAACATTTTGTATACATTCTCAACGATACGAGAATCATTGCAAAATCACCACTTTCAAAACACCTTCAAAACACCTTTTTAACTTACACAAACACAAATCATTTTAAAGTGATCAAGCAATTAAGAGCCAGTAGATAACTACGAATGAAAAGGGTTCTAACACCTTCCCTTTTCATAACCTACCCCCCAAACTCAAGAAAATTCTCAAAAGGTCTTTCTTGTTCTTTTCACCCTTTCCTTTATTGGATAAAAGAAAAGTCGGTGGCGACCCTTGCTATCCGCAACATTTACGATTAAATGCAAAACACCCAAGTCAGTTCTCCCACCGTATCAGACCACCCTTAACTTTTATCATAAAGGAAGGGAGTATAAAGGAATAACCCTAAAAAGTTTAGATATTTTAGGCCTGACTCAGTTCTAGATGAAGGGAAGGTGTTAGGAACCCCTCATCTACCTTGTTCACAAGGATACTAGGTTTAGAAACACCTTTTTTTTAAAGAAAATAGGGTTTTGAGTTTTATTAAGGGAGAAGGGGTTTTAATATTATTTAGGGGGAAAAAGGGTTTAATTTTAATTAGGGGGAAAAAGGGTTTAATTTTAATTAGGGGAACTCGTCACAATTTTTGATCGTATGCCTACGTATCCTCTTAGGAGGAATCAGAGTCCCATTTCGTAGTTCGTAAGGTTAGTGTTTTTTATGGATTGCGTATAGTTTCTTTTGAATTTACCTTTGAAACTTGTCTGGTTTGCAAGTTGGGTGATCGTAGACGCAGTTCACTGTTGGATTTGAAGACAATGCTATTTAATCCTTTTTGAAAATGATCTTGAAGTTTTTTGTTATGTTAGTAAAAAATGGTTTATTGTTGGTTAGTTGTTTTAAGACGTAGAACCGGGGAGTCTGATATAGTCTCCTCATCACATAGTCAGATACTGGCCATGTGTCATTCACAAATGGTAAATTTGGTGAGTTTGCATGGATTTTAATTTTTTTGATTTTGAATAATAAATCGGTAGATGATGTATCGACCGATTTAATTACTCAAAGATGAACATCCTACTATTTATAGAATATTTAAATTAACATAAAAAGGTGATTTACGTACAAGATTAGTGATTTATGTATGAGAGGGGATTTTGAATTTTAATTGGACTAAACTCCTAAATTATTGATAAAATTAAATGCACAATTATAATTACACTTAATTAGTATAAAAACTAAATAAAAAATAAAACAAGTAAATCAAGGATGTAAGTAGTACAAAAAAGGGGGTGTTGATTAGCAAAAGAGAAGTGGGACAATTGGCTAACAAATTAGACCTAAGAGACTTAAGCTCAAGCTAACAACATCTAAAATTAATTTATAATTTTAATAAATAAATAATAATTAAAAAAGAATAAAAAAACAATGACAAGAAAAGTCTAAGAAAAGGAGGAGCGCCTCATCCTATTATGAGTAGCTAATAAGAAAGACAATTTGTTAAAATTTTGATTATTTTTCTAAGATCTTGGACCAACCACTCATATTTTTGACATGTAGCATGGATTAATTAATAAATAAATAATAATAATAATTAACCATAAGTAATATCATCAGGAAAATAAAACAGATCTCAAATTACTCTTTTCCTTTTCATGTAATACCTTTTCTCTTCTCTCTTTATACTCATCATACTTTTATTTCGTCTCCTTCAGTTCATTAAAAAAAAAGAACAACAAAGTGAAATAAAACCTCACAAATTAAATACTAGGGGATAAAGGATGTTACTGGTGGAGGAACGGAAACAACGGAGAAAACATCGTGGAGGTGTTGCGGAGGCTGCAATCGGAGGGAGGAGCTTCATCAACAGAGCGTTGCCTTTATGGTGGCGGAAGATTGAAGAGTGTGGTCGGTTGATTATGTGTGGTCCCGTCGATTAATTGTTGTCGGTACAGAGGCGGACTTCATGGATTGGGCGTGGTGGCTGCGGCGAGGCAAATTCCACGAGCGGTCGTGATTGCAGCGGCGTCGGACACGTCAGGTTGTTATTAATGATGATGGTCGGATTTGCATCATAGCAGTTGGATGTGTAGCTTGGTTTGTCTTGCCTGAGAGAAGATATTTCGACGTCGGTGTTTCGGCGAATCTCAGATTCTTCTTTTTTCCTGTGAGTAGAATTGACAAAAAAATAACAACAAGAATAGATTACATAATTTATCAACGAGGGTTCAATTCTTATTTTTTTTCTCTGTTTTTTATATGTAGATTTTCCTCTGCTGCAATTGATATTACTGTTTATTATTCTTGTTTTCTGCAAAAAAGATGAACAGAATTTGTATAGATTGTACTATATGAGATTTGATGTTTTTGAGATTAGAGTTTGTGTAATTGCTACAAAAATTAGTGATTTTGTAAAATATTGGTTTTGCAGGTGGTGAATTTTGAAATATGGTGTTAGTAATTTATTGATTTAAACTTATACAGAGCATGTTTTTAAAAATTATGGAGTGTTAGCTTTTGAAATTTATTTTGTATTGGAAAAGAACATAGATGGTGCAAAGTGATAGTTAATATGAAAAAATATGCACAGGGTGTAATTGTGAATGAGAGTGAGTAGTAGTATTAGTATGTGATGAATGTTAGAAATACCAAATATAATATAATAGCAATTAGAATTAGGAATCAAATGATAATTTTCACAAAAATATAATGAACAAGGTAACCATTAGAGATTCATCATGGGATTTAAACAACGAATAAATTTTAAATTGAGAAGATAAAATCGAAAATAAGAGGAAGGCCTCATATCAAATCATCGCCCAAAAATAGTTTGAAAATCACACCAATAAAATTCTTTAGAAGAATTTTGAAAAGAAACTTGCAAAAGTGACATGTGAAACTGTGAAATTCGCAGAGATTGTGGATACGTGGATTTGTAGTGAAATTGTGAATTTCTGGATATTGTGAATTTTGGATGTCCTAAAAGTGTGAAAAACATGTCCTATTTATAGATAAAAAACCATCCAAATTGGAAATAAAAACAAAATTGACCAATCAGAAATTAAGTGTGACACAAATTTACATCAAATGGCCAAAAAGAAACACCTATTTAGAAACATAAATATTTTTTTGACATTTATTATAATTTTTAAAATTACCATAATAAAAATACGAAAATAATATTTAAGTAATAAAAAAAATGGCTTTTTTTTATGATGGAAATAAAATTAGTGATAATAAACCAAACATATCAAAAATATGCACCAAGTGAGATTCGAACCCATGATCTTGTATCTGCAGGCTCGCTTCTTTACCAATTATACTATGCCCTTTCATTCAAGATGAAAAGGGCAATTTAAAACATATGAAAGGTGAACATGTAGTTGTTATTTAAAAATACAAATAATTTGAAATAAATTATTATATTTTTAAATAGTCTTAAAAAAATTAAAACCCAAAATGTTAGTAATACTCAAAAAAATTATGAAACCAAGTTACAAAAATGAGGCGGGCAAATTTGGGGTATGACAACTGCCCCTATTTAATTGCTCTTCGATTGAAGCGTGCGAGAATACGTAGGTCTCGCACATTCGAATCAGAGGGTTATTAAAAAATGGAAGACCCCAAAGTTTTTCTGAAATATTATAAGCATACGCTGTACAACATTCCCATGAGTATGAAGAGCAAGCATAGATGATGATGTATCATTTAATTTGCGTTTGAACCAAAGTTGAGTTAACCTAGATATGATGACGCGGATAACTCGTCGTTATCTAAGAAGAGATCGTTTGCATATCTACCATAACCTAGGAGGTAAATGATACAAGTTTGAACAATTAACTTACTAATGCTTGGAGATTAATATAGCAAGTTTTGGTTTGTTTTGAGTCTGTTTATTCATTGCGACCTAGGGAACGGGTAAAATAATATTTTAACAATATATTTTCACATGGAGACTGATGCAGTAGAGCTAAATCGTAAGAAAACTGATAACACCATTATTGCATAGAGACTGATGCAATGAGTTAAATCGAGGAGGCAACATGATAATGACATCGCTGCCTAGAGACTGATGCAATGGATTTTTGTTGCAGAAATTTTTTGACAATAACATTGATGCATGGAGACTGATGCAATGGAAAAGGTTTTATAATAAAATTGTTGCATGGAGACTGACACAACAGGTTTGAGTTTGATAACAACATTGTCGCATGGAGACTGACATAATAAGTTAAACATGGAAAATTCACACATTGTCGCGTAGAGACTGACACAACGGGTGGAATCACCGACTTTGCAACATTGCTTCCCGAGGTCTGACACAACGGGCTAAGATCACAAAGAAAGAAGCATATTGTTGCATGGAGACTGACACAATAAGCTTAATTTGTAAAATTTCACACATTGTTGTATAGAGATTGATACAATGGGTGCAATTGCTGATTTCGCAACATTGTTGCCTGGGGTCTGACACAATAAGCTAGATCGCAAAGCAAGAACATATTGTTGCATGGAGACTGACCCAATAAGGTAAATATAGAAAATTTCACACATTGTCGCATAGAGACTGACACAATGGGTGGAATTGCTGACTTCATAACATTACTGCCTGGGGTCAGACACAATGAGCTAGATCGCGAAGAAAGAACATATTACTGCATGGAGACTAACACAATAAGTTAAATTATAGATTTCACACATTGTCACATAGAGACCGACATAATGAGGAGAATTGCTGATTTTGCAACATTGTTGTGTAGAGTTTAACACAATATGCTAGATTGCAAAGAAAGAACATATTGTTGCGTGGAGACTGACACAATAAGTTAAATATAGAAAATTCACGCATTGTTGCATAGAGACTGATACAATGGGTGGAATAGATAGGAATCTGTTTTGAATGATCCACATCTTAGATAACTAAATCAGAGATAAGAACAGATTTTACTAGTTATTTGTTTCTAATCGAGGTAAGAACTGATGGAGGGCCCTAAGATATTGGCTCTGATCATAGTAGGTTTCGAGAAATGTCATGCATGATGCATATGTATGGAAACATGGACTTTAGAGTGCATATGTAACGAATGTGTGCATGCCTCAAATATATGTTGGTGCAAACTATGTGTATATGCCCCAAATATTATGGAAAATGTTTTTGATAATTCTCCTTCGTTAAACCATCGGGTTCTTGTAGTTATCAACTTCCTAACATTGTTTGTTGCAAATTATTGTATCTCCAAGTTGGTTTGAATTTGGTGAAAAGTGTCAACAAGATTTTGATGTCTGTATCGTAGGTGTGGCGTAGGTATGGATGTAAAGATGGATATTGGTGTGGACGTATACATAGTCGTCAACATAGGCGTAGGTGTGGAAATAGGCGTAGATTTTATTTAAATGTTTTTCTAATCATAATATATTTTGATGCTTTATCAAATGTTCTTTGGTGTTTCTGTATGTTAGGTGCACCAAATAATGTGAATGACCTTGAGATTTTGATATGGTTATGTGTACGTCATACTTGATGTGAATCCTTTCAACGGGAAATCTATTGTCGAGATTTCCAAGAAATCTAGTGTCGAGATTCGATTAAGAATTATCTTCTACCGCGGTCTTCTCGAAAATCAATCACTAAGATTAACCAAGGGAATCTACTATCAGGATTCTGTCGAGCAAATACCTTCTGTCGAGGTCTTCTAGGAAATAAACTTCCGAGATTTACCCAGGAGAATCTACTGCCGAGATTTTGTTGAGAAATTTCTATCTGCCGAGGTATTATGGAAAATCAACTACCGTGATCAACCAGGGGAATCTACTGCCGAGATTCGGTGTAGAATTGATAACTTGATCGACAATGATGATTGTCTTCACATGCAAAATGGTTTATACTATGCATGTATATTTGATTGATGCATGAAATGAAATGATTGGTTGATGCATGTAATGAGTGACTTGGATATGTGTAAATGGATGTTGGGTTTTGAAATGCGAATGTGTTGTTGGGACTTTTGAGATATGCTCTCCCCATGCTGTCCGACTTCGTCAGATGGATGAGCTAATAAGTATAGTTTGATTATGGATCGAGGAGCCCTAATGCATGATTTGTGTAGCCTTATGCTTTATGATTATGATTTGAATGCTTTTTGAATGGTGCCCTTATGATGGGTCGTGGATGATTAAAACGTAGAGCTTTACCTATTCAACAAGGTTGCATGTCACATGATGGTTGAATGTTATGCTATCATGATTTCCTGATACTCGATTTGAACTTGAAGATTGCTTAATGTAGGATAAAAACCAATTGGCGGTTATGAAAGTATGCGGAGAGCTTGCCCCTATGTGGACTTCTTTCCCTAATTTGTTGGTAGGGTCTTGGAGGAGATTCTCAGTGATATGAACTTAGAAATAGTTTGATCATAACATGAATGACCCCACTAGTTTGCACTTTTCCCCTGATTAAAAGACTTTTGAAAATGTTTTCCTTTGATGAACCATTTTGAATCAACTCCTTTTGATCGAGCCTCGTAGTGGTTTGCCTCAACATTCGAATTTGGAAAGATTTGCCCCTCATTCTCCAGGATCTGAAGAAAGTACCCTCAGAAAGAATTTTAGACCTTACCATGAACTTGACATAGACTTCCCCAAGTATTTGAAGCTTGAAAAGTTTGTACTTGAAGTTGCTTGAAGGGGAATTTGGACCCTACGTGCAGTAGGATAATCTTGGTACATACTTCCCTAACAATTAAATCTTGGTAGGTTGCCCCTGATTACCAAGGCCTTGAGAGGTTTGTTAAAACGAGGAAACCGAGTCATATCCCGTTGTGATATGACTTGATTAAGGAATGCTCCTCTGAAAGGTATGCCCCTAATTGAACATATCTTTGAAACTTGATCTAAGTTAATTTAATCTTGGAATGATCACCCCTTGTCAATAGTATCTTAATGTGGTATACCCCTACGATCATTAGTATTTACCCCTATTTAATGGGGTCCTCTTAGATTCTTTTCCCCTAGTTAGAAGCTTCATGGAAATACTGCCTTTGATCAGACCTTCTTTTGAAATCTTCTTGATGCTAAGTATTGATTCGTAGATAAAATTTTATATTTTGAAAAAAGAAATTCTAATGTGATGCACATGCAAGTTCTTGAAATTGAAGTTTGATTATTGAAAAGAAATGGATGATTAGGAATAAATATTCGAAGAAGCGGAGTAATTAATAATTTTAACAAACATAGGAGTCAGTTTAACACAAATCTTGCTGAGTATGCTTTCATAGTGAACCTAGCTTCAATTAGGACTTTTGAAGGTTGTAACATGGCCATGGTTCATGGTTTAAGAAACAAAAGATATAAGGCTCAAAATTTATTTATCCCACCCCATTCTCCTTGATGTTCTCTAGTCCTAATTTTAATTAATGCAACAAATGCGTTTAATCTCCAAGAGAAATTTCGTAGTTGCGC